AATAACCTTAAATTTGTATCAATATACAAAAATCCATACCAATGTAAAATATTTGAGACCAGTAGTTGTTTTTTTTCTTTTTAGCTTGAAAGTAGATGCAATAATCTACCCTTTTATCCTATTATTCCTGTAACCCCCTTTTCCTTTTCAAAATGAAATTCCTGAATCTAATCGACTTTGTTCAGCTTTTTTACTGACCATTACCAGTAACAACTTGTAACCAACCCCCCTAAATGATGACAACTATCCATAACCCATTGAATGACCAAAAACCACCCAACCCACCTCTTGGGAATATAGATGTCATGTTTTCTAGACTGCTTCCTGTTTTCTGGAGGTGATGACATCTTTAGGAGACCCTGAAAAAATTTAAGATAATGGTCAAGTCCTGGGAGATCTAGCTGTTGTCTAGTTTCTGTGTGATGGGAAAGTGTAGATCTTATCTGAAGTCTGGCTGAAGTGTTCTGTGAGGCTGGACCATCTCAGCTAGCAGCCTTGAAGCTGTTCTGGATGCAGAACTCTGAGGAAACTGCAGCAGAGGCATCTGAGAGGCTGGGTCACCTGGGCCACCCATTTTCATTGGTGTTTGGTGCCCTTGCTCTGAAAACTCACAAACTTTTAAAGGTAATATACATAACTGCATTAACATAAGTATGGAATGTGTGGTGTGTGCAAGTCAGTTAAAGATGATTTTTTTGTTCTATGTTTGAGCAGGTAAAAGGCATCTGTCAACTTTATAAGTCCATTTGGACTGCATAACCAAACTGTAATATAAACTACTATCCATGCCATATGAAAGGGTGGCATGTGATAATAAGTTATGAGGACTCTGTAGCCAATAAGATTTATCATGTCTCTTCCAGTCTCAGAGCTATTCCCATGCAGAGGGACCAGCTTACATGTCACCTGTCCTATAGTCTTTTTTGGCCATTTGTAATGAATCTTTCTCTGTCCCACCAGCCAGCTCCCAAATCATGATGTAAAGACAGTATTAATTATGAAAGTTTACCCAATAGCTTAGACTTGTTTTTAGCTAGCTCTTATACCTTAAATTAACCCATTTCTAGTCATTATGTGCTGCCGTGTGGCTCATGCTGTTACCTCTCCTGCACGTCTTCCTTGTTCTCCATCTGCCTGCTTCTCCACCTTCTTCTCAGCATTCTCTCTGCCCTGAAAATCCTGCCTAGCTATTGACTGTTGAGCTTTTTATTAAATTAATCTGAGTGACACATCATCACAGTGTACAAAAAGATTATTCCAGAACAAACTCCTTTGAGTGTTGACCTTTTCACAGGGGTTGCCTAAGATCATTGGAAAACATATTTACATTACAGTTTATAACAATAGAAAAATTACAGTTATGAAGCAACAACAAAATAATTTTATGGCTGGGGGTCACCACAACATGAGGAACAATTTTAAAGGGTTGCAGCATTAGGAAGGTTGAGAACCACTGCCCTACATACAGGCTTGCCAGCAGCCCCATCTTATGCAGGCACTTTCTTAATTGAGGCTCCCTCCTCTCAGGTTGACTTAAGCTTATATCAAGTTGACATAAAACTAGACAACACAGCCTGGTTCTGTGAGTAAAGGTGCCAAGCTAGCTGACCTGAGTTCAGTTCCTAGGTCCTTCACGGTGGGAAGAAGTTGTCTTCTGACTTCCATGTGCGCACCATGGCATGTGGCACACACTAAAATAAATAAATGTTTAAAAATAAGAATTGCCAGCTGGGCGGTGGTGGCACATGCTTTTAATCCCAGCACTCTGGAGGCAGAGCCAGGCAGATCTCCGTGAGTTCGAGGCCAGCCTGGTCTACAGAGCAAGATCTAGGACAGGCACCAAAACTACACAGAGAAACCCTGTCTCGGAAAAAAAACCAAAGAGGAGGAGGAGGAGGAAGAAGAAGAAGAGCCTTTCATTAAGAAAATGAAGTCAAGCCAGGCAGTGGTGGCGCACGCCTTTAATCCCAGCTCTCGGGAGGCAGAGGCGGGTGGATCTTTGTGAGTTCAAGGCCAGCCTGGTCTACAGAGCAAGATCCAGGAAAGGCGCAAAGCTACACAGAGAAACTCTGTCTCGAAAAACCAAAGAAAGAAAATGAAGTCAGCTAGGTGTGGTGATGCACGCCTTTAACCCCAGCACTGTGAGAGCAGAGGCAGGCAGATCTCTGCAATTAAGGCCAGCCTGGTCTACATAGTGAGTTCCAGGCCAGCCAGAATTACATGGTGAGACCTTGTCTAAAAGTGGTTCACACCTTTAAGGCCAGGATTCTGGATGCAGAGAGAGATAGATCTCTGAGTTCAAGGCCAGCCTGGTCTACAGAGTGAATTACAGGACAGCTAGGGCTACACAGAGAAACCCTGTCTCAAAGAAAGGAAGAAAAATATTGGGGCCTGGTGGTACATGCCTATAATCCCAGTACTCAGGAATCTGAGGCAGGAGGATCTCAAGTTCCAGAGCAGCTTAGAGTTGTAGAGTGAGACTTTGACTCAATAAAGCAGAAGAGAAAGGAGGGACCTGAGAGAACAGTTTTTTGTAGATTTTTTGGTATTTTGTTTTGTTTTGTTTTGTTTTGTTTTTGAAGACAGAGTTTCTCTGTGTAACAGCCCTGGCTGTCCTGGAACTCACTTTTGTGTGAGTGCTGGGATTAAAGGTGTGCACCTCCATCGCCCAGCAGAGAACAATTTTTAAATGTAATTGAAAAAGATCATGTATTTGTTCTACATGAGGAAAAAGCAGCCACACACAGGCAAAAATATTGGCACAAATGCTTCATAAGACCTTAGAGAGAGGACACTTTCTCCCATATTGCTCAGGTCATCTCTAATGAGTGTTGTCAGAGGGTACAGAGGCCCTTGACTGTGTATGCACTGTAGGCTTGGGCTCTGATTAGTGCTGCAGAGACCATTGCCTGCCTGACTGCCTACCTGGGGAGAGGATGGGGAGATGCTGTTAAGGGTGGGAAGTAATGACAGTAGCCAGTGAGAAGCAAGAACGGAGCTCCCATCCTCGCTCCATGGGAGGACTTGCTCTTTCTAGTCTCAGGACCAGTGTCAGCACCTTTCCTTGGGGTCCTCTCCACTTTTGCCTTGGCCCCAGCCTTTTTTCAGTCTTGACACATCTTCATCCTTATTAATTCCCAAGAGACCAAAAGTAAGACACAATCCAGACTCCACACAAGACCTGCGAATATGACATGTCTTACCTCCTGTGCTCGAGAACCCAAGTTCTTTGTGACCAGAAAGGGGCTGAGCCTTGGCTTTCAGCTCTCTGTCTTAGCTGCCTGTGCCACCACAGGAGGCTTCAGAGCTGTAATTGGTCTGAGAAGCCAAGAGGTACAGAATTGGCATGTCATGATCCTAATTGTGTTCTACTGTTAAGTAGCCCACGTCCTATAGGACAGCAATTCTCAACCTGTGGGTCACAACTACTTTGGGGGTTGAATGACCCTTTCACAGGGATCACATATCAGATATTTACATTATGATTCATAACAGTAGCAAAAATTGCAGTTGTGAAGTAGCAATGAAATAATTTTATGGTTGGGGATCACCACAGCCTGAGGAACTGTATTAAAGGGTCACAGCATTAGGAAGGTTGGAGAGAGTCCCAGAAGCCAGGCCTGGATGCTTGTTTACCAAAAGGCAATATTATTCAGCCCAGAGATAAATGCATGGAGAGAGAAAACAAGGGGTGATAACAAGAAGGGGGATGGTCTGTTGGCCAGATTCATCCGGTCCCTCCACCTTGAGAGCTGGTCACCCCAATGGCGCCATTCCTGAACCTTCTCATGGTGTACTTCTTACCTCCTCTCACTGGGCCCTCCTCTGTACTTTCTGCTGCCTCTTCCTCTTGAGAACCTGTGCCTGTGCCTCCCTCAGTGTGTCTCCTCTAGGCCTTGCTTGTCTCAGTTTTCTCATCTTTGGAGGCCTGGAGTCCTCCAAATGAAATTGGAAAAGATCATGTATTTGTTCTACATGTGCCGCAGCCACTCAGCACAGTCTCAGCCAAAGAGCTGCACCAGGACCTGGAATTCCACCTTCTCAGGTCCCTCGACCTGCTCCAAGTACCTTTTAGACCTCTCCTAATCTGCTCCCAGAGCAACTGGGTTTCATTAAAGTGCATCTCTCTGCACACTCAGATCTGTTGGAAGCTGCTTTACTATTGCTCCCTGTCATTGGTCATTTGTCATTTCTTTTCTAATAAGCTCTGCATTGTCATGAAATGACACTCATGGTTCTGAATCCACATTTGCTGCTGTGGGGCTATTTCTAAACCAATAACCATTCACAAGGAGGCAGTGACATCCCCCGTGTCCAGGTTGGGTGTTGTCCTGTGGCTGCTGATTTTGTTGTTGTTGAGTGTATTTCTTTGCAGTTTTTGAGAAGAAAAAGAAGGGTGCATAGCAATAAAACACTGGAAAAGAAATGTAGTCCTGTCTGGGGTCCTCTTCATGAAGCTGTTTTCCTCAGGAAGCAGCTGTCTCCTAACTGACCCAGATAGGTCCTCTATCTGTGCTCTCAGCCAGGAGGAAGGAGACAGTTCATTGATTGTCTCAACATTTGGGGAACTTAAAACTAACTTGTAGCTTCCCAAGACAATCATTCAGTGAGGTTTACCCGCTTCAGGGAGAGAAGATAATACACTTGTGTTCACAAGCAAGAGCCGTAGTGAAAACCAGCACCTCTGCCTCTGCATGGCTAGGAGGCATTTCCCTTAGGGAATCTCAGGACCCCACCCTATAGTCCCATCTCCTCCTGTCAGTGGGATTCAGCCAGGACCCAGAGGAAAGGATCCAGATCTGCATGCAGTGCTCAGAGAGTAATGTCCTTTGTTGTTTTTTTCTGGGACATGGTCCACTGTGTAGCCCTGGCTGGCTTGGAATTCACCATATAAACCATACTGGCCTCGAACTCATGGTGCTCTACCTGCCTCAGCCCCCCAAATGCTGAAATCAACTCCTTCTAGTTGCTGAGCCTAATCTAGGGTTTTTGTCCCTAAGATCCCTGAAGAGCATGACCTGGAGAGTCAGATCCGTAAGGAACGAGAGTGGCGGTTCCTGAGGAACACTAGAGTCAGAAAGCAGGCACAGCAGGTCATCCAGAAGGGTAAGTGCACAGCGCCGCCAGGGAACAGGTCTTCTGCCAGACATAGTCAGGACCTAGCCAGTCCCCTTCAGCCTCCAAGGCACTGCATGCTGCTCTTGCAGACTAGCACACTGACTGGTAGAGGCAGCTGGAACAGGGAGGGATGGCATGAGGGGAGAGGAGCCCACCTCCTGGGGAGGGCTTCTCCTCAAGGACATTCCTGCCCTGGGGTCTCAGTAGAGGCCAGTCCCCACTAGCTGGTGACCTTCAGAGAAAGAGCACTTGTGCTCTTTGGCAGTTCCAGAAGGGCGGTGCAGGCCCTTTCCAGGCCCAGGGAACCCACATCTCACTAACCACCCACGATGTCCTTGAAGTGACCACTGGCTCCATTCCTCCAAACCTCGGCGACTGCGCCCTCACCAGACCTTTCCCAGACTTGTCAGCGTGCTCTGTTTGCCCCTTGCATGTTTTTGCTTCCAGCCTCATGGAGGAGGTGTTACTGATCAGCCAAGGACACTGTGTGTGCTGCTGTGGGGGCCCAAGAGCAAGCTCCTGTCAGCAGATTGCATAGTGTGTGTGTGTGTGTGTGTGTGTGTGTGTGTGTGTGTGTGTGTGTGTGTGTGTGTGTGTGTATGATTGCATAGTGTGTGTGTGTGTGTGTGTGTGTGTGTGTGTGTGTGTGTTTATGTTCTCCAGGCCAGGAGGCCGTGCAGGGAACAGGATCATCCCAAGTGCGGCAGGAATGAGGGCCAGCTTACCTCACCCTAAGACCAGGGCCCTTCATCTACTCTCTTAAGGAGTGTAGAGCAAGGCTGTTCCCAACACCCCCAGTGCAGTTCCATGGCTCTGAGGTAGAGGCCACTTCATGTCTCCAACCAATAGCCAAGTAGTTTTTATCACAGAGGCAGCCATGACTAAGGGTCAGTGTGGTCAGTCTCTGGCCTTCTCCCCAGTTCCACAAGTCACAGTTTTGACCATACCTCCCTGTCCTCTGAAATTTAGAAAATAATGATGACCAGTTACTTGTTAAGTAGGGCTGAGCCTCGGAAGACCAACTGCCCCTCCCACTGAAATAGAGGGCCATGCCAGCTTCAGCCCCAGGCCTGCCTCACTGAGGACCTCACTTCCTACACATCCGTGCTTGTGTTCTAGGATGTCGCCGCACCTATGATGCAGGCCCTTGGGTGTCCGTGGCACTGGTACAGTCCGTGCTCCCTCTGTTGACTCCTCATGCCTCCTTGTAGGCGCTGGTGTCTCATAACTGTGTGCAGCCCAGTAACCACTGCTCGGGGATGTGCAGCCGGCAAGCACACTGTCCACAGCACCCTCTCTGCGCCCTCCTAGAGAGCACAGGCCCTCTCAGAGCTCCCTGTCCTCTGCACTCTCCTAGACAGTGTTTCCCAGAATTGCAGGCCAGCGCAGCTAGGGCAGGTTACTTTCCTGACACGAGTTTAGAAACTAGTTTGGAAACCCGGCCCACACAGTAACATGTCTAGGGAGGCAACATTGACTGGCATTTCTGTTCAGCACTGAGGCATACGTTCAGAATACAAAGACAGGTGGGGCTGGGAGATGACTCACTCCATAAAGTGTTTGCCACACAAGTACGAGGACCCGAGTCTGAGCCCCAGAACCTACATATAAAAAGCTAGACACTGTGCTACATATTCATAATTCCAGCATTGCTGAGGCAGACAGGTATTACTGGCCGGCCAGCCTAGCCTAATTGGTGATCCACTGTCTCAAAAACAAGTAGATAGCTCCTGAAGAGTGACACCCAGGTTGACCTCTAACACACACATGCACACACACAAGACAAATACTCTTTGTAGTCTTTATGAAAAAGAGATACGTTTATCAAAAGCACACAACAGAGGGTGCAGTAACCTGGTGGTAGAACACTCACATCATGGGGCTCAACACAAAAGTGAAGTTAGTGAATGACCTGGAAGCTCATTCGGTAAGACGGAGACACAGGTAACTCAGTGCTCAGTGGCTGCAGTGCATTCTTCCAGTCACCCAGGTTCAGGATCTAGATTCAGTAGAAGGTTTTATTTGTTTGACATCCAGGTATGAACTGGGAAAGGTGTCAGCAGGAGAGGTGGGAAATGATGCCTACAGGTTGGATGGAGCTGACTGCAAAAGTACAAGTCAGGCCCCAGGAGATGGGCTCTAGGGAAGACCAGAAGGCATTCTTTAAGTCCCTGGTCATCATTGGCTTCCCCAAGACATGGTGACCCAGGCCACCTGCTACACACAGCTGTTTGCATATATGCAAAATGCTTTGGCTGGTAGCATCTTCCAGTGCTCAGAACCTTACCACCCTCCTGGAGTCTTCAACAACAAGAAAAACATAACCAAGAATGAAGGTGCCCAGGTTATACACTTGTTCCACTGCAAACCAGGCACCCTCCTCCTCCAGCAACACCATCCCCAGCCATTTTCCCTCCCTACCATGTGTTCTGGGAAGAGGAACCAGAGGACAGACACTGTCTGCAGAGCTGCCCACCTGGCTGAACGGTGTGAGTCTCTCAATGTTGCCATCCTAGAGCCCCCTATACAGCAAGGGGCACAGACCAGGGGAAAGAACCCATCTCAGAGACACCCAGGAGCTGGCTTCTGCCAGCACTAAACCCACCACTCTCCATAGGATCACAAAGGGGCCTCCTGGCTAGACCAGAAATCTTTCCTCTGTCCACCCAAGAGCTATGTTCACTGGCTAAAATGATGTGATCCCTGAAGCACCTTTCCAGATACCCAGAGGTCCGTGCAGGTATCTGGGGCCAAGGCAGAAGGTGCTGTCTCCGTCCTTGGTGCTGCATCTGGGAGGTAGTGTGTACTCTGAGTAAACTTCATTGCCCACCATACTATATCTGCAGCTGCCTAGACTCTGCATCCTTTGCTGCAAGCCAGGAGGGTGTATATCTTCAGCTAATGTGTGGGACCTGGTAAGAAAACCTGTCTTGTGTCCTCCACCCCTGTGATTTCTTGGCTAGCTGCTTCCCAGACTGAAGGCCCTGGGCCTTCTTAAGAAATGGTACCCACACCCTTCTTCATCCTGAAGTTCTTAGTACTCTCTCCAGACTCAGTGAAGTTCCTCTACTCTGAACATTGCTGTGTGTAGTATAATAAGCATTGATCAAAGGCATGCCATTGTCTAACTCTGCCAGGAGCTGTGAGACGGGGCCAAGGAAAAGCATAGACCCCAGAGTTTTGGATGTACGGAGCTAAAGCTACCCATTTTCCTTAGCATGTACTTCCAGCCCTTCTCTTTGGTCCCTGCTTTTCCCCTGCTTCGGCTCTGGTAAAGGTAATGTCAACGTTGCTATAGATGAGAACTTAGCTCCATTATCTCTTACAGGCATCACCAGACTGGATGATCAGATATTTCTGAACAGAAACCCTGGCGTCCCCTCTGTGGTCAAATTCCACCCCTTTACACCATGTATAGCTGTTGCCGACAAGGACAGCATCTGGTAGGCATGGCTTCAGTTCACCCTGGTGTCTTCTCCCTCCATTGCACCTCTTATGAGGCCCACCCAATCCCAGACTCACCTGGGCTGCATTACTAAAGGACAGGACAGGTAGGGGACTTTCTCCTCACCTATTCTACAGAAGCAAATGAGTTACAGAGGATCCCTGGGAAAGAATGGGATTTTAAAATTTCTAACAGGTTCAGATGTGGGAAGAGACTATCCACTTTAGCTTTATTAAATGCTGTAGATCTCCTTTTTTGTCCCCCTTCTTTCTTTTGTTTTTTAAGTTGTGGTAAACTGTATGTAACAGGAAACGGGCCATCTTAAACATTTTTTTAATTTTTATTTATTTATTTATTTTTTGCGGAGCTGAGGACCAAACCCAGGGCCTTGCGCTTGCTAGGCAAGCGCTCTACCACTGAGCTAAATTCCCAACCCCTAAACATTTTTTTTTTAAAGATTTATTTATTTATTATGTATACAGTGTTCTGCCTACATGCATGCTTGCAGGCCAGACGAGGGCACCAGATCTCATTACGAATGGTTGTGAGCCACCATGTGGGTGCTGGGAATTGAACTCAGGACCTCTGGAAGAACAGCCAGTGCTCTTAACTGCTGAGCCATCTCCAGCCCCCATCTCAACCATTTGCTATCAATGCATATGCATACTGTGAAGGCCAGCCCCACCGCCACCTCCAGAATGTCCTTGGTCTCCCATACTAAAACCACACACTGAACACTAGTCCCTTTCCTCAGGTGCCATCAGCACCATCGTCTTTTTGTCTCTGAACAGATGCCTCTAGGGAACTCCTGCAAGTAGAATCTTAATGGTATTTGTCCTTTTTGACTGACTTCTTTTACTTTTACCTAATGGTTCACTCATACTGTAGCATACATCAGTATTTCCTCCCTTTTGGGCCTGGTAATTTAATATTCTGTTGTAAGGATCTCCCACACTGCTCGACTGTCCAGGGTGCTTGGTTGCTTCTGTGAACACTGCTTTCAGTTACTTGGGAACATAGCAGAGGTGGAGTACCGAGTCGTTGTCTGTGACTACACTGTACCCTCCACCAGCAGTACACAAGCTCCTCACCCACACTGGCCAGTTTCTGCTCTGACTGCAGCTACCTCATGGCTGTGAGGCAGTGTTCCACTGGGGTTTGGGTTGTTTCCCTAGTGACTTGTCTTTCTGTCACCTCTCTTATTCCTTCAAGTTTTTGGGACTGGGAGAAAGGAGAGAAGCTGGACTATTTCCACAATGGCAACCCTCGGTACACCAGGGTCACCGCCATGGAGTACCTGAATGGCCAGGACTGCTCCTTGCTGCTGACAGCCACAGGTGAGCGGGGCTGGTATGGCTCCTAGGCCCGGGGGACATGTTTTTTTCTGTTTCTCCTTTTTTTTACAAAACACTGCTCACAAGAGTCCCCTTCATTCTGAAGTGTGACATTTGTGAGGGAAAGGGCTTGACTATAGGGCAGGATGTTGGTCAGGGCTCTAGGACCATCTTTTCACCAAGCATTCCTGGCCCTTCCATGTCCTGGAAATGCCTTGTCAGTCTCTAACCTCCTAACCTTCATGGCAGACCCACATGGGCCCCAGATAACACATGAAAGCAAGGGAGGACATCCTAGGCCATAGTGTCCACAAGGGCCCATGTTGCCCTAACCTTTGGACCCATCAGCTCCCCTCCTCCCATGACCAGAGAGGCTCCCAAGCCAGGTCTGTCCATCTTTGCAGACCAGCTTCCTTCTACCTGAAGGTGGATGAGGAGCGGTGTTTCAGAGACAGGAATGGCTCTCACTCTGTTCTCTTGTTTGTCTTTTCACCTGAAATATCTTATATCATGCTCATTTTTGAACGGAAGTCTCTGAGTCACTTTCCCTAGGTTGACAGTTGGTTTATTTCTTGTTGTTACTTTGTGTTGCGTCCCTTTGTTTAAGACAAGGTCTCACGTAGCCCAGTCCAGCCTCAAGTTCACTATGTAGCCAAGAATGACCTTGAACTCCTGATCCTGTCTGCCTCTGTTCCCCAAATTCTGGGATTGCAGCTGAGTGTTGCTCTGCCCAGTCACATAGTGCTGGGAACTGAACCCAGGGCTTCCTGTGTACAAGGTAAGCACTCTGCCAGTTGAGCTGTGTTGCCCAGCTACAGTTGTTTTAGCTCTTTAGAAACATGGTTCCTGGATCGGGCATGGTTCAGTGGTAGAGCTCTTGCCTGGCATCACAAGCCCCGTGTTGTATCCCAAGCACCACAAAAACTACACAGATAGAATCATACCAGCATGACGACCTCCTGCTGATGAGAAGCTGTTGTCAGGTAGAGAGGTGATGGCAAGACTAACGGAGGGACCCTGAGCCCACAGTCCCAGGCTTCTCTGTCCTCATCCTGGGCCTGGACTTGGTGTCTACGCCACTAAGACCACTGATAGTTCCCATGTCTTGAGCATGACTTGCGAATACATGGTTTATTGTACACACTTCAAAGGAGAAACAATGCACAGAAAATTAGTGTGACAACCCTCCAGTCCAGCCCTGAGTGATGCAGTGATACCCAGAGGCAGGACTCATAGATAGCAACTTAGTGTGACAACCTTGCTGTCCAGCCCTGAGTGGTGTAGTGATACCCAGAGGCAGGACTCACAGATAGCAACTTAGTGTGACAACCCTGCAGTCCATCCCTGAGTGGTGTAGTGATACCCAGAGGCAGGACTCATAGATAGCAACTGGAGGGGCACATGTGGGTCCCAAGTCCACTAGCCCAGGGCACAGTCGGCTGCCACATCCACTGACAGGGGAAGGACAGTGAGTGGGTGCTGGCTTCCTGCAGATGCTCCCTGAGAGTGAAGTTCTCTTGAGAGCCATGGAGGCTAGCTGGTCACAGCCTCGGTTGCTTATCCAGAAAACCAATGTGCAGAAACTCAACAGTCACTGGGGTCAGAGCCAGGAGATCCTGTTGGGATATAGTCACTGGAAGGGTCACTTGTTGCTAGCGTCCATGGCTCATGTTGTTGAGGTACATTGGAGACCATTGTCTGCTGAGCTGCTTGGAGTCTGGGCTTTTCTGGCCTGACAGAGCTTCCCTTGTCTTTGCAGACATTGCAGTCCCTCCTCCTTGTTGGTGTAGGCTGCCTGTTCCCCGGGGCATTGCTGCTTACACCCAAGGACTCACTTCAATGTCGGCGCATTCTGGTGTCAGGCAGGATGTTGAGCAGGAGTGCCTCCATCTTGTTTTCTTGTTTGTTTTGTTGTTGTGAGTGTTCACTGCACTGACAGTGTGTGGCCCTAAAAGTCACTGTCTAGCAATGTCACCTCAGGACCAAAGCCAGTCCTCTGACCCACAGCATCAGAACTGTCCAGAAGTGACCTATGCATCATGGGGTTAGGAACCCTCAAGGTTCCTTAAAGAGAGGTTGGGGTCAGATTGAGATTCTCAAGGCACCAAAGAGGAGGAAGTGGAGAGAAAAGGAAGAAAATGAAGGGGAAAGGCATCGAAGTGCCTGGTGTCCTCTGGAGTCATCCTCTCAAAGGAGAAGCTACAGAAAGGCCTCTTTCTAAGTCTCTAAAAGCAAGGCAGATGGGGGTCTCATGCATTTCTGTCTGGAGAGCCAAGCAACCATCCTCTCTAACCTTAGGTCAGGCTGATAGGTGCACAGAAACCAAGGGCAGTGTGGACAAGGTGAAGGCCCCAAAGCTTTGTCCTCTGGAAAAACTAAGTTTCCCACTGAGAGACTAGACTAGAGGGAAGAGCGAGGAAAGTGATTCAGCTTTTATCCAGCTTCTCTGTCTCCAAGAGAGAGTGATCCATGCTGCTGGCTCTGAAGAGAAGTGGCCATGCAGCCAAGCCACTGATATGTGGCTTGTGGTTTCCAGTGCTAGGATCTATCATGGCCCCATCTCCCTTTACCTTTTACTGATTGCTCACATCAGAATAGCAGGACTAGGCATCCAGAACACTACGTCTGTGTCTTAGAGATAGGGGTGGGGCACACCTCCAGGGCACAGGGTCATACTGCTTTTCTCCTTCCCTAGATGACGGTGCCATCAGGGTCTGGAAAAATTTTGCTGATTTGGAAAAGAATCCAGAGATGGTTACTGCATGGCAGGGGCTCTCAGACATGCTGCCAACAACACGAGGTGGGTCCAGCTCTTAGACATGATGCTGATAGCACAAGGTGGGTCTTTGGCTCCTCAGGAGAAGGCCATCTAGAACTGTGGAAGACATAGTTGTGATGCGTTTCCAAAATCATCAGTGGTCTCCCCTAGAAATCACAAGAGTAGGTAACTCTCAAAGATGCCAATGCTCTGCCATGTTCTCAGTTTGACCAAGTTGTAGGCAGCACTGCGGTGGCCAGATGTGGCTCGGAAAAGAATTGCTGCTGGCTGAGCGTGAAGGCTGCATGGTGTCCTCCTTGTGCCAGCTGTGTGCTTTCCCAGGACCACTGAGTGGTGATCTCCATCTGGGGGAGAAGTCCAGCCACACTCACAGCTGCCTGGACTGGTGGGACCTGTGGCCTCCAGAATTATGATAGGAAACCTGAGTGGCCTGTGGTTTCCTTGTAGAAGTCTAAGCCGACTGAGATGAGGAAGGAGTGAAGTTCAGAGGGTCCACATGTGGTGTCAGCTTTCCCAAGAAATGCTCAGGGACTGTACCTTGTAGCTGGCCCTCAGTCATGCTTCAGGAGGTGCTCTGACTGTGGCTATGTGCCTCCTGCAGCATTGAGGACCGGGGATGAACTAGCTCCTGCACCCATTGCTTCTGCTGAGTTAACGTCCCATGGGTACCAGGGGACTTAAGCATTAATGCTTTGTTGCCTTGGGCACCTTGGGTACAGAAGCTTGCTTTATAAACACTTTGCTCTGATGGCAGTCCATGCCCATGTAGACAGTGACCTTTGGAGAATTCCTGAGAGCTGAGTCAAGCTGCCCACTGGGCATCCTCCTGCCTCAGTCCCTCAGTATCTGGGATGATGGGCACATGTTATTGCACCTAGCTGAGAGCTCGTTTCAATGCTAGGGGTACGGGTGGCCCATGGCCTGTACAGAACCCCTGCTTTTCCTAAGAGAACTAGGACCTTGGTGTTCTGATTGGTCTGGAGGCCACTGAATTTGTACTATTTGTGCCTCAGAATTGTAGAAGATGTATTTGGTGGACAGAGATTCTAAGTCCTGTGATTCAGTGCCATGGGTGGGTGGAGCATGTAAGGTTCTGGGAGAGCACAATGCTCATCTGAACATTATTACACCAGCCTGGCCTTACATGAGTGAGGGGGACGCCCAGGATGCCCCCATCTTGTCTGAGCCACTGTTTGACATAGTGACCCACTCTGTTTCCCCAGGAGCTGGGATGGTGGTAGACTGGGAACAAGAAACTGGCCTCCTCATGAGCTCAGGGGACGTGCGCATTGTCCGAATCTGGGACACTGACCGTGAGACAAAAGTGCAGGTAACCACGCCAGGCCCCAAGCTTCGTAGAACCAGACTGCCCACGCTCCCGCTCCACAAAATAGATCTCATTCCTGTCAAAGAGAACCAAGACCTGTGGCCTCCAGGCAAGCACAGTCGGGGACTGCTGCCCAGCTGTCTGTCTACAGGGAGACAGACGGGAAGATGGCATCTTGCTGCCAGGCGAGAAGCTAATTACCTCTGGATGCACAGTGATTGTGGCACTTTGACCCTGCATTACAGCATAATTAAGCCTGTGCTAATCCAAATTATTTCCAAATATGTTTTCTCCGTGCAAATTAGGGAATATCAGAAATCAGTAGGGTGAACTATCTTAAATGAGAACGGTTAATTGCTTGACCATCTGTGTCTTTTCTCCCCCCTGTGGTGCTGGATGCAGAAGGCAGGGCTTCATGTATGCTGAGCACCTCCCCAGCTGCCACCAAGTGAGAACTCAGCCCCTTACTTAAATCATCTCTCATTTGCAAGATTGTTTGTTTTTGAGACATAATACTACTGTGTAGACCAGTCTGGTTCCAAGTTTTTCATTTTAATAGAGTGCATTGGTTTTGCCTTAGATATTTGGGCTTCCTTGCTGGAGTCCAATTGCACCTACCTCCTTTGGGTCCAAGACAAAATCACAGATACTGTTTTTGTTTTTTGGTTGTTTTTTTGTTGTTGTTGTTGTTTGGGTTTTTTTTTGTTTTTTTTTTTTTTCAGAGCTGAGGACCGAACCCAGGGCCTTGCGCTTGTTAGGCAAGTGCTCTACCACTAAGCTAAATCCCCAACCTCAAGAATTAAATCTTTTTTTTTTTGGTTTTTCGAGACAGTGTTTCTCTGTAGTTTTGGTGCCTATCCTGGATCTCGTTCTGTAGCCCAGGCTGGCCTCAGACTCACAGAGATCCACCTGTCTCTGCCTCCCGAGTGCTGGGATTACAGGTGTGCGCCACCGCCACCCGGCAATCACAGATACTGTAAGGACATCACATAGGTAGCTGAGGGATGTCTGTCTGACCAGTGCCCAGAGTGCCACAGAGCAGAGCCTGTCCTCAGCATTCTCCAAACCTGCCCTGCCAAAGGGGGGCATGGACAGCTGTGGATATCTCTGCAGAGCAAAGGGGCAGAGACAGGCAGGAATGACAAGAGCTGACATAACTTGAGACCTGTCCATCAACATCTCCTAGATGCCTCCATGACATCCTCAAGCCCCACAATGCCACCAAACAGTTGAAGTACAATACTGTCTTTCAGGGTCCCTGTCCATGTGGAGAGATAGTGCCTGATTGTTCCTATTTCGGAGGGGCGGGGGGCTGTGTGGGACCCTTGGGGTCCCTGCAGGTGCAGTGCCTCCTTGGGTGCCATCACATCAGCTGCAAAAGGGGGAACCTGGCTCTTTAACAACTCCCCCTTCAGAATCCGCCCCCCATTCCCATGAGTTCCTCTGAGGCTTGCCCCATCTGATTAGAAAGCACCTTCCCCTCTGAGGCCCGTTTCCAGCTCCCGTTCCTTCTCGCTCCCATTCATCACCCCCCTGCCCTTCTGCAGTATTTATGGCACCAAGGGGAGCAAAGAAGCAGTTCCTCAGCTCTTCCCTGACTAATTAGGGGTTTGAAGAGAGACCTAACGAGGCTCCCTCCCTGCCAAAATGTGCTTCGTCTTTCTTTTCAGGAAAAGGAGATGTTGCTGGGAAGTTTAATTGGCCCTGAGAACCAGGCATCCCCACAGTTGCCTCCAGGCTGTGCCCGGACATGGGCTCACAGGCTCTGCTCATCCTGGCCTGTAGGTACAGGCGCAAGGCAGACACTCCAGTAGATCAGGGCATACCTGATGCCATGTAGCCCTGCACTACCCTTGACCTAGTTCCTCTGGCCTGTGATAGCCTTGTAGGTAGAGACCTGTTTCTCAGCCTGAGGGAAATGGATATGTCCACAGAAGATGCTGCGGCCAGCTGGAAGCCCCTCCTCACTGCTCTTTGTTTGGACTTAGGATATTCCCACGGGTGCTGACAGCTGTGTGACAAGTCTGTCCTGTGATTCCCACCGCTCACTCATTGTGGCTGGCCTGGGCGACGGCTCCATCCGAGTCTATGACAGGAGGATGGCACTCAGTGAATGGTAACTGCCACACTTCCCCTCTCCTCAGTGCTATTCAAGCTCCTTCCAGATGGCAGAGGCCCCCCACTACCAGGAAAGGGTCCAGATTTCTCTGTGAGCATGAAGCGTCTTCAGCAGTTCACAGCGGAGCTCTGACATCAGGCAAGAGGACAGCTCCTGGGGCTGCAGAGCCAGCTCAGTGGGGTCAGCCTTTGCCCTTCACTGCCTGGCTCGTGTGTCTTCGTCCTCCATCCTTGCCTGGCGTCCAGTTGTCTCATAGCCCTGCATCCTGCTTCTCAGAGAAGACCTCTTCAAGCTGACCCCACAGAGACAGAGGAGCAGAGAGGCCTTCTCACTAAGCTGCCATCTAAGGCAGGGCTACTAGGCCTTCCTCAACCCAAAATGGCACCCAGACTTCAAGGCCAGACCGGGGAATTGGAGGCTAGACAGATGAGGGGAGTGACCTAGTACAGCCTGCCTAGTGGCTCCAACCTGAGTATCCTCCTGAGGCTCTGCCCAGGGGCAGGGCTGCCAGGTCCAGTTCACACCTGTTCCTCCTAGCCCTCCCTGCAATACCCTGAGCAATGGGGGAAGAGTACCTGGGCTGGGCCAGTCCTGACCATACCTTCCTCCTTTAGCCGGGTCATGACTTACCGAGAGCACACTGCGTGGGTGGTAAAGGCCTACCTGCAGAAGCACCCTGAGGGCCACATCGTGAGTGTGAGGTAAGGAGCAAAATATGCATAAGACATTTGCAGTGAAAACATTATTTTCCCTCCATTTAAATATGTCCTTGATATTTAAACAGCTAGGGAATGTGGCATTTCAGGGCAGTAATTGACTCTGCTCTGTAAATGGCCAGAAAGGTCAGAGTGCAGAGCAAGAGGGTGTGTGTGTGTGTGTGTGTGCGTGCCTGTGTGTGTACACGCACCAGAAAATCTAAGCTGGGCTGAATGAGATGGGCAGGCCGGTATGTCCCTCCTGCAGGTGGAGGGGCAGCAAAGCAAGATGCACCTGGCAACATATCCCCAAGCAGGCTGGCTGCCCCAGCAGACTGCCTTGTCGCCAGCCAGCCTCTGCACATAAATTCAGACCTGCTGCTCAGTAAATACTGTGCTGAGAGAGGCGAATCTTTATTTGCCTGTTAAAGAGACAGCAAAGCATAATTTACTGTTGCAAAGCCACCATTCCTTCCGAGTGATGTTCTTTCCCCTTATCTGTGGCGTGAAGCAGAGCCTAACTCTTGGAATGGACATTGACGCAGAAGGCTATGAGCCTAGGCAAGGCAGCTTGGCCTCCCTGTGGAGCTGGGTATCCACCAGGCTCCCTCTGCTGTCTTCTGCCCTCATGGGCTCCACTTCATGAGCTCCAGTCTCTGTGGCACTCTGCCCCTGCCCTTTCTCATAGCCTCTTCTCTAACCCTGCCATGTCCTGCTTTGAGCGAGCACAGCAGCTGTCTTCGGGATCAATCCTGGCCTTTTCCAGCTTAAGAGGGGTGCAGCTTGATGGGAAGCCAGCGGTGTGGCAGGATGGGGGGCTGTGGACATCACCTGGGAGCCCCTTGATAGGGGCCCTGGGAGTCTACATGGCTTTGGCCTTACCAGCATATGCAAATGGGCATGAAACTTCACAGGGCCAGTGCAAACATCCTCCAGAGCCAGGTCCCTCCCACAGGGCTCCAGATAGCATCCCTAAGGTTCAGCAAGCATCACTCTGGCCCTCTTTCGCAGTGTCAATGGAGATGTGCGCTTCTTTGATCCTCGGATGCCTGAGTCCGTGAATGTAATGCAGATTGTGAAGGGGCTGACAGCCCTCGACATCCATCCCCAAGCAAACCTGATCGCCTGGTAGGTACCCTGCCTCCATGCAGCCCCTGCTTCTGAGCAGAGTACTGTCAGAGTGCACAGCATCTAGGCTCTGTCCTCATGGTGCCTTTGGAGGAGGTTAGCTTAGAGGTATAACTGTACTACCATGAAATAAAAACAGAAGATCTCTCCCTGCCTTCTCCAGCCAGGAGAACAAACACCTGCCCTCAAGGCATCTCTGGGGACAGGCCTGGTTCTTACTGAGGGTAACAGATGAGTAGCCTCTTCTTACCTCAGGGTGACATACAGGTAGACCTCCTGGCTGTGGCCCCACATGCTGTAGCCACCCATCCCCAGCCAGGCTCTTGGCCTGTCTTCCTCCCACACCACAGGGAGACAAGCTAATATTCTGACCATCTTTTCCCCCCTGCCACAGTGGCTCCATGAACCAGTTCACAGCCGTCTACAACGGAAACGGGGAGCTGATCAACAACATCAAATACTACGATGGGTTCATGGGCCAGCGCGTTGGGGCCATCAGCTGCTTGGCTTTCCACCCACACTGGGTCTGTACCTTCACTCGGGGTCTCTGGGGGGAGGGGGAGGGGTAAAGTGGAGTCACCTGAGTGACTCGGAAGCCTGGACCTCACCTCCAGGCTCCAAGAACATAAAGAAGTGAAATAGGTCCTGGGGTCTCCAAATTATCGCCCTGCCCCCTAGAACCCAAACTCAATTCTTAGTACTCAGGTAAGAATAGACAACACAGGGGAACAGCTAGTGTCCTCTGGTTTGGGGGCACCCCTTCCCTCTTGGTGAAGGGGCAATAGATGAGTGTCACTGGACACCTTTCCATAATTGTAGTCACTCGTGTGGACTGTTAGGTTGGTTAGGATTTTGCAGAGTGGGTTTCATGGGAGCCTGTGTGTGCCTGAAGTGCATAGCAGCAGCTTCCCAGAACTGTCCCAGTGGGGCAATCCTGAAAGGAAGCTGCAGGGAATTGTGGGTAGTATGCAAATTGCCTGTAATGGAATTTGGATGATACATTATCCCTGCTAGAATCCGGCAGTTAATGGCCTTCATTTCTGTGCCTGTGTGGAGTTCCGAGGTGTTAGGGTAGTTAAGCCTCCCGGCTAGAGCTGGGCAGAGAACAAGCAGTCTGCCCTCTTCCCTAGCCCCAGTGCTGCAGCTCCTGCTGGAGCAGAGGCCCTGCTCATGTGTGTGTCTCTCTCTCCCTCACAGCCTCATCTGGCAGTAGGAAGCAATGACTACTACATCTCTGTGTATTCGGTGGAAAAGCGCATCAGATAGCGGCACCCAGGACTCCTGCCAGGCTGCAGCCACCCTCTGCTGTACATAGTGAACCAACTGCACTGCTTGGGTTGCAGTGCCCACCTACCTACCCACCTTGCAAACCTTGGCTCCCAATTTGGCCATGGCCAACTGAGGAGGGGGCTTGCACTTCTTTCTGTCTGTCTTCACTGTAATGTACAAGTCCAGAGCAGGGGAGGGTTTGATGCTGCTTCCCATCAAGAACCAGCACCCAGGCACCAAGGACCTCATGATGCCTCTCAGCACATCATGGTCCTTTTCTGTCCTGTTTTCTTCTGAGATTTTACAAAGGGATACATTTAGTTTTTCCATGTGATCAAAGCATTAGTCACAGGACAGATGGAGCCCTGTAGAAACACTGCGTTTGGGGCTCCTGAGAGCCGTGGCCCAGCCCCACTGTCCTCTCATGTGGACAGGAACCCCTCAGAGTAGGCTGGGCAATGCTGAAAAATGGAAGAAAGCAATTGAGGAGGAGAGGGGAGGCCTCTCCTGCTACCCAAGTATGGAAGTCTGAGCCTGGCCCTCGTAGGGCACAGAGGCAGCCCAGCACACCCACCTCATGGCTGGGTATGTTATGATGGTGTGAGGAAAGGCCCCCGCCTGCACAGCTAGACCTCTGAGGTCTAGTCTGGGCTCCTAACATGAACTGGGTTACAGGAAAGGACTCTGTGGCTGCAGACAGATGAGGCAGATCCGTAGAATTAGCTGTTGCCTCAGCCTGCCAGGCTCATTCTGAAGTGCTTCTCTCCCATAGGGCAGTAGCAGTGGCCACGGCCCCTAGCTCCCTGTGTGTGCCACACACGGGCACACAAGCATGCAGGCACGCAGCCTCCCCATCCATGCCCAAGCACATATGGGTGCCCTGGTCTTCCTGTCTGTGCACACTGAGGGTGTGCACATGTGCGGGTCCACAGTCTCCCCTCCTGCACATGTATGAGCACTGTGGCCTGCCACAGGTGCACTCACATGCTGGCCTCACACTCATCACACACACACACACAGGTTCAGAGACTGCATTGGACCCTAGAGGCATGTGGGCAGCAACAGCCCCATGGATGGTGTGACTAAGGTTGCATGATGCAATCTGTGATGTGGAAGAGTTTCTCAGCAGTGTCCTGGTGTGCTGTCATGTGTCTGTGTGCACGTGAAAGTGAGGGGCCATGGACATTTCAGCCCTGGATGGAGCACAGCATTGCTGAGGAGTTGCACACAAACAGGGCACAACAGTAATGATGTTTTGAAAAGCATTTTCCGTTTTCCCTGGGAATCAGGATCTTTCAGAGGAGGACAAAATGGCTTAATCAGGTCTGCCACCAGGAGTCCACACAGGTTGGTACAGTGAGGGCAGAGGCTGGGTCCCTGTGCTGTGCTCAACGGATCTGTTTTAGTCAAGAGCATCTTCCTTGTGAAAGGATCCCTGCAGGCAGTCCTGGGCTGACCACAGGGCCAGATGGGGCTGGACAAGCAGGACAGGAGACCCTTGTATCAGGAGGAAGGCTCATCCACTTGGCCAGACAGCAGCTTGGAGTCAGGAAGGCCTTGGGACCACCTGACATCCCCAGGAGCCCACTTGCCCAGTTGTGCAGAGCGTTCCAGTGGGGGACACGCTGGAACCTTCCAGCAGCTGGACTCCAAATGTGGTCCAGCTCAGTCCCTGTCTAGCTGGTGGTTCTGTTTTGGTGCACGAGGCCACCTGAAGGGTTGAGTGACCTCCCTTCCCTGGTGGAGCTGCAGTGCTTGACCCTGCCCACGGGCTGGGCCTTCACAAGTCTGATGCGAAAATTCAATCATGAAGCTAACTAAGGCTCGAGAGAGCGCTGGCCTAGAGTTCATTGTCTCTATTTATTTTACCCAAATGAGAGTTGAAAAGGACTGACAAGACGTGGGACTGCGATGAAGCTCAGAGCAGTGACAAGCAGCAAGTGTTAATAAAGAATAAAGCCGTGAGAAGAGACTGCGCCTCCTGCTAGCTGAGAATGTGCAAGGGTGGGGTGAGCTGGGCCCCAAAGGGTTTCTGCATTCCCCACTCCCTTGGGGTGGGACAGTCTTGACCCAAAACAGCTATAAGTGAACGCCCCAGGACAGGGCCACTGTATCTAGCCCTCCTGGGCCTGGGTGGAAAGGAAGAGGTGGTGGTTGCCATGGATACATTGAGGCATCGGGACTGGGATTCCTCTGCTAACTCAAGCTTGTCGTTAATAAGGTTGCCCCACATTGACACAGACCAGCTTCGTGTGGTCGTCCCCATTTTCTTTTTTTTTTTTTTTTTTTTTCGAGACAGGGTTTCTCTGTGTAGCTTTGCGCCTTTCCTGAAACTCACTCTGTAGACCAGACTGGCCTCGAACTCACAGAGATCCACCTGGCTCTGCCTCTCGAGTGCTGGGATTAAAGGCGTGCGCCACCACCGCCCGGTGTTCCGTTCGTCCCCATTTTCTATTAGCATTGTTGCCTCTCTAGGCAACACCAAGTACTTCTGCAGAGGGTGAGTGCGTGTGCAGCCCTGGTCTTGGTCCTGAGGGGCCAGGCAGCAAACTAGCTATGGACATGTGTCCAGAGGCCCAGTGTTCCTCCAGGCCAAACACCTCAGCCCTCAAGTGTAAGAGCATAGCCTGCCAACCAGGGAGAGCCAGGGGGCTCCCTCTGCAGGTCTCATGCTGGTCATTGTGCCAGATGGGGCCTCCACCACCTACTGCACATGTCTACATCCCCATCCTCCAAAGCCTCAGCAAACACCCACCCCCACCACCCCCATGCACAGAGGCCAGAAGAATTAACCTGTTGTGTCATACTGAATTGATTACTGGTCTGGTCAGAACCCACATGTTCCCAGAAAATGGAAAATAGCATCTCAGGTGTGGAGGGCAGAGACCTCAGAAGACCAAGAGCATAGGAAGGGAAGGGGTGGGGGGAGTCTAAAGGATTGAGCTATCTCTCCCAACCCATATGTTGAAGCCCTGATCTCTCCCCTCCCCCCAGCACCTCAGCATGACTGTATATGGAAACAGGGTCTTTACACAGGTCATCAAGTCAAGATGAGGTCATGGGTGGCAGTAATCCAGTCCAGCTGTCCCTTTGAGAAGAGAACAGGACACAGACCCACGGGGATGGCAATGCGCAGGCACAGGGAGACTTCATGCCTCAGGAAGAAGCAGTCTGGGCACACCCAAGCTTGAGACTGACCTCCCAAGACTGCTTACCCAGTGTCAAACACTCTTGTCAGTGGTGACTGGCCATAGTGGCCTGGTGTGTGAATGTCGCTAGCACTTCCAACCAGTGTCCTGCCCTTGAAACTCGCTCCGCACTGCCATCCACCCATGTCTCTTAGAAGTCAGGCAGTAATCACAGGTGCTGTGGGCTTCCAAAATGGCATGGTACCAGGGAAGTGTCTGTGGATCTTGTGTGGAAGAGCTTTTGACATGATAGAGCTAGGTCTGTGCTTCCTTGGCTAAGAGAAAGAACCTTCTGTCCACAGCTGGTCTGCCATGGCCTCCCTCTCCAGTGGCCTCAGACACAACTGCTCTGCTGCATCCTGTACCCAGGCCTCTATGTCCCAACCTGCCCTGCTCCCTCCATCTTTGAGAAGGAGCCTCACTCACCATCCCAATGCTGCCTGGCCCCTGCCTCAGCTATCCCTGGGCCCCCTTTAGTGGCCACCACGTGCCCTGGACCTGAGACTAGACCACACACTGGAAGATGATGGTACAATACAAGAGTGCCGTGCACAGCATGATATTGCTACAACAGTGGTGAGCTGGGCAAGAGCTGTAGGACTTCCTTCATTGCCTCTTGGGTCTCAGGAACATGTGTTTACATGTCACCCATGTCCTGGCATGAAACCAGGAGCCCTACATGCTCTACCCACCCTCTTCTATCAGCCTGTATAGCATTCCTCCCCCCCACCAATTGTGCATGTTACCCATGACCTGTGAAAATAGGCCATCCACAGGTGACAGGAGAGTCTGCTCTCCATACCAGCCCACTCCTCTCCCTCACATGGCAGGACTGTAGCAAATTCAGAACAGACCAAGGCTCTACTAGAGTGCCAGGGACCCATCCTCCAGAAGTCTCTGAAGCCACCATGACAGCCCCTCAGTACTGTCATGCCACATGTACCTGCTAGGCCCAAGAGCTCAGCATCACCTGGGGTTCAGCATTGTTGATAGTCAAGTGCCCCTCATATGTAGCCAGGGAGGCTACCCACACCCTGACAAGCAGAACTGACAAATCTTTGGGAAGGGAACAGCATCTTACAACTTTACAGTCCTTCTCTAGTAGTGCTGGACATTTCCAGCTCTCAGGAGGGAATGTGGAGAAGCCTTTACCCAATGGTCTCAACCCAGAAGGCAGGCTCAGGGTGACTGGCCGTAGAGACAAGATCTACAGTCTCTAACCTAAGGGGCTAGGGCTCTGTATAGCACTGAGGGTCCTGACTCCTGGTGGGGGCAGGGGCAGAGAGAGATGAAGCCCGGAGAGCCACCATGTCCCTGCCTTTCTCTGGGGTTGTTTGCCCAACAGAATCATCCCTTCCGCCAGCAGGCTGTGCCTCACTCCCTTGCAGATGGTAAGGATAAGGAGGTATCACCAGCTGCAACTAGGGCCTCATCCACATTGGGGCTCGGCCACCTGTATCATAGTGGGGTTGAGACAAAGACTCTACTTGAAGTCAAACCAACCACTGCTCTCAAAAGCCCACTGTGAGCCGGGCGGTGGTGGCGCACGCCTTTAATCCCAGCACTTGGAAGGTACCAAGGCCAGCTTGGACCACAGAATTTCAGGACAGCCAAGGCTACACAGAGAGAACCTGTCTGGGGGGGAGGGAGCCCACTGTGTGGTGTATGAGTCACCTGTTGATGGAGCAGAAGCCACGTGAGTACAGGCTGCAGGCCAGCAGCCCCATCCTCATGGAAGACAAGGTGTCCCAGAGAGCCTACACACACTATCAGGGGAAGGGTCTAAACAGCTGCATACATGACAGGAAAGCCCAGAACTTGTTCTATGCTGTGGCATGAACTGCTAAGGGAGAAGAGGTCTATAGCATAGGGTGGCCCCTTCCCCCAGCTTGGGCTCTGAGCCCAGCTTCCCACTGGTAAAAGGGCCCCGTGATGTTTTTCTATGAACCCAGCCATCTGCAAGTCCCACCTTGTGGCCTATCAACAAAGAGGAGAATGACATCCCTCCCCACTCTGGCTCTACAGAGAAAGTAACCAGCAAGTGTCTAGAACCCACATGGGGCTTATTTTTATTTGTTTTGCTATTCAATAAAAGATTGGGAGGGGAAAGAATGACGCACCATCAAAAAGCAACTTGAAAAGGAGATTAAGAAGCCAATTTCACTTACAACAGCAAGCAAAATAGGATTTCTAGAAATAAAAAAGGAGATTGGAGACTTACACAAAACTACAAAATACTCAGGAAACCTGAGTACCTGAGTAGATGGGAAGATCTCCCATGTTCATGGATCACACGATCTAATGTTGGCTGAGGAGGTGGCTCAGTAGGTAAGAGCACATACAAAGCTGGACACAGCGCACATCAGTAATCCCAGAATTCCTATGGTGAGGTGGAGGGCAGAGACGAGACTGGAAAACCTCAGAAGCTCATGGGCCAGCAAGGAGCAAGCAAGAGACACTATCTCCAAGGGGGATGGTGAACACACCCAATGTTGCCCTCTGACTTCTGCTATCACACATCTGTACCCACGTTCACATGAATGTGCACATGCCTACGCACAAGTGAGAAAAAGTTCAATAGAAAAACCAACCCTCAGGACTGGAGAGAGTGTAGCATTAAGAACATTTCTGCTCTTGCTCTTCAATCCCAGTAATACGTCAGAAGGCTAACTCAAGCTGAAGGGGAGCCCTGACTTATTCCGGCACTTTCATGTGCGCATACTGGCACACATAGTCAAAAATAATTTTTTTTAAGTTTTAAAAATAGAAAATCTCCTTGTGTTGCAGAACTATAAAGGGCCCCAAATAGCCAGAACAAAAAGGAGAAATTAGAAGATTGACATTTCTCAATTCAAAATTTACCACAAAGTTACAGTCGCCAGAACATGGTGCTGAGATAAGGGTCAGAGTTCCCGGCCAGTGAACCAGAACAGGGAGTGCAGATAAGAGGCTGGGACTCCTGTGTGACAAGACTTCAGTGGGTGAAGAATAGTCTTCCGCTGGGCGTGGTGGCTCATGTCACTCAAGAGGATGAAGGAGGAGGCCAGCCATAATTTGCAGGCCAACTTGGCCAGAGTCAGACCCTATCTAAACAAAGATGCAAAAAAAAGGTGAAAATACCCCAGACAGGATACCAATGCCTGTAATCCCAGGCTTCAGGAAGACCATGAAGGCAAGACTGGCTTGGCCTCTGTAGCTGAAGGTCAGCCTGGGGCACCATAGTTTGCCTCGGTCAAACAACAAAACAAAAAAATAGAAGACGATATATCTATATAATTGAACAAAATGTTTGTAAATCATGTCTCTGATATGGGCTTACTAGCCAGAATACATTATAAAGACCCAATAACCCAGTATCTTAAAAAGAAACCAGTCGAGAACTTGATTAGACATCTCTCCAAAGAAGACAACAAATGACTGGCCAGCACAGGGAAAATGTCCCTAGATAATGCCAACCTGCTGGGAGACCCCATCTCCTACCTGCCAACATGGCTTCCACCAGGACATGAAGGAGTTGTCGCTCTTGGGCACTGTGGTAGGAGTGTCAGAAGGCTGGCACTGTGGAAAGAGGTTTGGTGTTTCTTCATCAAGTTCAGCATGGGGTTACCATACTGCAATCCCAGGGCTAAATATAAACCCCAGAGAAACAAAAGCATGTGACCACATAGAATCCTGCAGGGATGTTTACAGGATGTTGTTCATAAGGCAGAGATGACCACCAAGGAATGGATGAATCAACAAAACGTGGGGTGAAAGGAATTAGAACCCCTCGGGAAGAGGTGTC